GAAACAGTTAACGCGCCTGCGCCTCCAGATGCTACGTGCATCCGCGGGCGCAGTTTGACCACAATTCACCGCGCCTACACTGTTGTCGTTCCTGCTAATGTGGGCCAGCTACTCTTGCCACTTGATGCACATGGGTTGGGTACGTCGCAGGGGGGCTGCGGGGCAGGAGGAGGCGGCGGAGTCGGAGGAGGAGGAGGAGGCGCATGAGGAGCAGGACGTTCGGCGCTCGCGCGGGACGTCGTTGGCGTCGTCGCCGCCGTAGTAGTAATTTGTGATAATTTGTTGAAGATGTCTCGAGCGAAACGCTGGCTTTGCAAAATTGGAGGATGTCTCGAGCGGGGGCCTCGTGGGTGGCCAGAATTCAGAGGGTGTCTCAAGCGAAATGCTTGTTTTCGCGTCCCGATCGCAGGGATTCCAAGGATGTCTCGCGCGTGTTGCGTCCCGCGCGTAAGAATTTTGAAGGTGTCTCGACTAATTCGCTTGTTTTGCTTGGATTTCTTGGGATTTTGACTGGATGTCTCGAGCGAACGCTTGTTTTTCATAATTTGTTGAGGATGTCTCGAGCGAAACGCTGGTTTTGCAAAATTGGGGGATGTCTCGAGCGCGGGCCTCGTGGGGGGCCAGAATTCAGAGGATGTCTCAGGCGAAATGCTTGTTTTCACATTAGCTCTGGGGCAGCTACTATGTGTTCAGGCAGCTCGAGCTTAAGATCCCGATCAGTTCGGTCAGGACTCGGATGCAAAGGACGACTCGATCCACGAGGCTATAGAGCACAATCGCGCCATGGCACATCGCAATTCAGCACGGCGCAGCACAGCACATATTTCGGCACGGTACATCAAGATCGATACACTCAGCATTGCGACTTGGCACGTTCCTTGGCACGTTCCGTGGGGCGTCCCTTGGCGAGTCCCCCTGGCACGTCGCGTGGCGCGTCCCCCGGCACATCCCGTGGCACATCCATTGGCACGTTCCGTAGCGCGTCCCCTTGGCACGTCCCGGTGCGACCCCATGGCACGTCTCCTGGCACGTCGCCTGGCGCATCCCTTGGGACGTTTCGCGGCGCGTCCTCCTGGCATGTCCCCCTGTCCATTAGCTCTGGGGCAGCTACTATGTGTTCAGGCAGCTCGAGCTTAAGATCCAGATCAGTTCGGTCAGGACTCGGATGCAAAGGAGGACTCGATCCACGAGGCTATAGAGCACAATCGCGCCATGGCACATCGCAATTCAGCACGGCGCAGCACAGCACAGCCCTCGGCAGGTACATCAAGATCGATACCTTCAGCATTGCATTTGCCCGTCACCCAATCAGGTGTCTTTGAAAACGCTGCCACGTGTTACAGTTCTATATTCCTTTCCGGGTTCGTGGATCGATCATGTTCTAAAAAATCAATGAAAAGATTTGAACCCAATTAGGTTCCAATGCCAATCCTCTGGATGCGGGATCCGTTTTCTTTCTATTGGGATCTAATTGGAATCTAAATAGAATCCAAATAGAACTCTTTTAGATCTGGGATTCGCTCTCTTCCTATGGAAATCTTATTTGGATCCAATGTGATTCCAATATAAATTCTCTGGATGAGGGATCCGTCCCTTTTCCCGGAAAGTGCGTGGGCCCAGGGTTTTCTTTTAGTGGGTTTACCCCCCGGTTTCGACTTGAAGGGGGCCGGCGAAATTATTTTGCGTAAATAACAAAGGAAAGTGCTGATTTTCAATCGAAGAAGTGCGTTTCGCGCGTGCCCGCTCGAGGAAAGTGCGCCCCCCATCTCGGATCCTCGATAAAAAACGGGGTCCGCAGACCCGTGTTTTCCATCGTAAATTAGCCTGGCGAAGGACCCAACCATATGCAGTTGTGAGTAATGCTGGTGTGAGTACCGTCTTCGGTGGATCTCCCTATGGGGCCACGAACCGTTTGAGGGGTGTGCCGAAATGGGTGTGGGGGCGGCATGCGAACGTTGCCACTGGGGCCTTCGGTGGAGCTCCTTATGGGGCCACGAAGCGTGTGAGGGGTGCACCGAAGTTGGTGTGGGGGCGGCATGCGAACGCAGCTACTGGGGCCTTCGGTGGAGCTCCGTGTGGGGCCACGAAACGTGTGAGGGGTGTGCCGAAAATGGTGTGGGGGCGGCACGCGAACGTAGCCACTGGGGCCTTCGGTGGAGCTCCCTATGGTGCCACGAAGCGTGTGAGGGGTGTGCCGAAATGGGTGTGGGGGCGCATGCGAACCCAGTCACTGGGGCCTTCAGTGGAAATCCCCATGGGGCCACGAAACGTGTGAGGGATGTGCCGAAATGGGTGTTGGGGAGGCATACGAACCAGGCCACTGGGGCCTTCGGTGGAGCTCCCTATGGGGCCACGAAACGTGTGAGGGGTGTGCCGAAATGGGTGGTGGGGAGGCATGCGAACCCTGCCACTGGGGCCTTCGGTGGAGCTCCCTATGGGGCCACGAAACGTGTGAGGGGTGTGCCGAAATGGATGGTGGGGAGGCATGCGAAACCTGCCACTGGGGCCTTCGGTGGAGCTCCCTATGGGGCCACGAAACTTGTGAAGGGTGTGCCGAAATGGTTGGTGGGGAGGCATGCGAACCCTGCCACTGGGGCCTTCGGCGGAGCTCCCTATAGGGCCACGAAACGTGTGAGGGGTGTGCCG